ACTGATTTGAGTGGCAGAAGTCACGGGCAGATATGTATGCTGGCAAATTTTGACTTGATAATAGAAGTGGAGCTTTGTTTACACTCTGTTTTTCAAGTTATGTCAAGCATAAGAAAAAACAAAGCAAATTAGTCCTTTCTTTGCCTTGTCTATTTTTGGAAAAATAAGAGAAAAGTAGCAAAAAAAATGGTTTGAGAGGCAGAGAGGATAGAAGCACCAATTGAGGAAAGGTAAGATTGCAATGACACAGTTGCTTTAAATCTTAAATTGGCAAAATGTTTAAGTGATAACACACTGAATCACTTACCGGTTTCTGTCTAGACTGTGATAATATAATGAATTGTAAAACAAACTGAATTTCAGGCTAAAATAGCCAAGCTGTGATAGGAGTTTTTAAATTCCTTTGATTGCAGAGTTCAGGGGAAAAGCACATGATTTATTAAAGAAGTCCAATATATTAATGGACCCCTACACAATTAAAATCATTTAAAAATAAATAAATCAGTAGATATACCCCCAAAAATTACAGAAATTCATCGGGGATATACCTTAAAAAATAAATTTAAAAAAAGCTTGCAAAAGCTGCGACCTGTGCAAGCCCTCTCATTTTTCTTTCAGTCTCTTCACAGAGAAATAACAAATTAGAGGCTTCACATCAAGGAACACATATGTGCTTGCTTGTGCGCGCACACACACACACACACACACCGGCAGGCACATCCAAAGAAGAACGCTTCTGCTGCTTCATTAGCTCAGGGGAACCAACAGTATGATAGCAAGGGGGTTGTTTCATTATTTGTAATAAAAGTGCCAATTTGTCATAGAAATCAGCACTTTTATGAAGTGCCTTTTAAATGCAAGCTGAAGTACTTTATGGGTGTGTAGTACTCCTTTTACGGGTCCCTTTCATGACAGTATGCATAGCAAGGCGTGTGTAAGAAATAGAATTTTCTCCTTACTGCCAAACACACTCCACTGATAGAAATCAGGATGGGATGCGGAGAATCTGTTTTTACTCACTACTTGCTGACAGTTCTGCAAAGTCTTTATTACCCAGTTTTCGCCCCACTGAGTGATTGGCAGTTTTTCCCTCATGCAAAGAACAGGTGATTTTTGTTAGCGCTCATGTATGTGGCACAGAAAGCCCCTGCCAGTTCCAGCAAACTGGCAGCACCAAGCCAAAAAATTACTCAGAGTTTTAACACATTCATACATTAAGCCTTTTCTCTGACCAAAAGCTTAGCAGCTCAATGTCCAGCAACAGCAAAGGAGTTTCAAATATAAAAATACTATCAAGGCCTAACATATTGCCCTAGTAAAGTGCGTTAATTTACATTTTTTTATTTTACAAAACAGATTTGAAAAAAAAAAAAATATATATATATATATATATATATATATATATATAAAAAAAAGAAAAGGTCTGTAGAGAGACACATACTTGT